GTGATTATGGTCATCGCTATTATTCAACTTCCCCATGGGTCTCTTGCCGTGTGGGGTGTGCTTGAGGAACTGTCTGACATGAGGAGCTGGTCCTTTCCCAAGCTGGTGAAAATCCAAGCACCTTGGGATCCTGCTGGTTTGGTGGTTCCCGTCGTGCCCCACTTCACAGACTCTTCAGTGTGGCGGGTGTCTGGCTTTGACGGTCGGCGGTGGGGGCTTGTTGTGTGGGGGTGGGTTGGTGGGTTAGGCAGGTCGCTGTCGGAGGCCCAAGTGTTCAGAAAGGCCTGGCACCCATGCGAACAACCCATAGGGTCCCCTGAAGATGCGCTGACCATGGCCCCAAACAATCACGCTTGGCCTATTCTCACGTCCAGAGCACGATATTCCCGTGTCTGCAGAGTGTGTGCTAGAGCTGCCAGCTCCTTGGGGCTGGACGTGTAGACAGGGACTGGTAAGTTGGCTCTTTACTTGGGGAAGAGTAGGTGCTGCGGGGGGTTGGAGGTGGGGGTGCTGCCTACATGCATTTGGCTTCACCTGGACTCAGCCCATCCGGGTTTGCTGAGTGTCTGTCACTCTCCCTCCGAAAGGTACCTCGAGAGTATTTCAATCCCCAGATCCCCCATATGGATGGAGAAACCAAGACCCAAGCATTTAAATTCACACCTATGGACTCTAGAGCCCCAAGTCATTAAACCTGCTCCGGTGAGGGCTTCCAGGGGCTTCCAATCAAGGCAGAAGGGGAAGGGGAAGGGAGGTGTGTCACGTGGCGAGAGAGGGAGGAGGGGCGGGCTCTTTGAAACAACCAGCTCTCCCCTGAACTAATAAAGCAAAAACTCTCTCGTTACCACGGGGAGGGCACCAAGCCATTCATGGGGGATCTTCCCCCGTGACCCAAGCACCTACCACCAGGCCCCACCTCCAACACTGAGGCTCACCTTTCAGCATGAGGTTCGGAAGGGACCAAACATCCCAACCGCATCATCCTCCAGCCCCGAAGCCACCTTTGTGGGCATCTTCTTTCCTTTTTGTATCTTGAATGTCCACACCTGCCCCGGAGGCAAGAGACCAGCAGAGCCGACTTGCGCACTGGGTCTCGGATTTTGTCGGAAATCCACCGCGCTCGTGTGTCTGCCTCCGAGCAGCTGAACTCCCACGGCGTGTAGCTGAGCCCTGGACTCGGAGCCCAGAAGGCTGGCGTGTGTGCCTGCTCACCCGATGGGCGGACGTCTTGGAGGCAGGCTATTCAGCGCGTGCCTCCAAGCCTCAGTTTCCCCCTCCCTATGATTCCGTGTAATCTCGGAGATCCTGAGGCAGGTGCTCAAGGAGGAATGAAAATGGAGAAGATGAGGCCCAGATGGGCCGGTTTTTGGCAGGGGTCCTGCCCGGGGCCTTGCTCCTTGCCTGGGGGAATGTCCACACCTTGACCCGTTGGCCACAGACCAGGCCTTTGCATGTGGATCCTGGCCACCCACAGAGCCGTGCCCCAGCCGGGTCCTGACCTGGCTCCAGGCTGAACGCCCACGCACACCACGGGCCCAGGCTGGGCCCAGGCTCAGGGTGTAGATGCAGTATCAGGCTAAGACGGGGACCCCCCACCCCAAACCCCTCACCCCCGCCAATCTGTTCTCAGGCACAGCTGAGTGGCTGCCTCTTTAACTCCTCATCTGTTTGATTGAAACAGTCCCAAATCTCTGTCCTCACTTCTTCTGCCTTGCTTTCTCCCATCCTTTTCTTCCCTTCTTTCTGTCTGTTCCTTCTCTCCCTCTCTCTCTCTCTCTGAAGCTTAGGGTAGGGGTGGGGGAAGCAGGGAAGTTGGCAGAGAGAAAAGATTCATCAATATTTAATTTTTATGGAAATCATGTCCTAGAAATCCCCAAGGGGCTGAAAATTGTTCTGTGTTTTCAGAATCCAGTGATGTTGCTGAAGCGGTTATGTTGTAAATAAAACCACATTACTGTCTGCAGCTCTCCCGTCGCTCTGCAAACACCCGGAAACTTGACAGTTTAATCCACTCAAGGAAGCAAAGAGGTTCGGGTCACCGGTGGGGGCAGCCCATTCGCGCAGCCCTGGGATATAAGACTGTGAGCATTAGCGTCAGCAGCGCCGTTACCTCTGGGCAGGCAGGGACGGGGAGCCGGCGCACCCCAGTGAGCGGGTCTGCGTGCTGGTGGAGCCTGTGCTCCCCCCAACAGGAACCCCAGGACAGCAGAGCCCCCCAGGGGTCCCTGGTGTGGGAGGATTGGCTCAGATATAACCGGCTTTCTCCTCCCTCACACCCGCCGTGCAGGAAGATCAGACCCTCGTCGGTTTCAAGCAGCTTTTGGTGGGGTCAGGGTTTGGAAAGGATGTTGCTTTGCTCATTCATTCATTCATTTGTTCATTCATCGCATGTTTATTGCACGTCCACCCCGCCCAAAACGCTGTTCCAGGTACTGTGGATCCAGCCGAGCACGCGGAACACACAGCAATCCTGCTGGCATGCTCCTGGACAGACGCAGCTGATAAGCCAAGTAAATAAGTAAAATAGACAGTATGTTGTATGGCAGTCAGTCTGTGGACAAAAATGAGGCAGGGATTGTAGGTGTTTGCCCATGAGCGATGAAAGCATGTATTGACTAAATGGCTTGTGCAAGAATGTACGGAGCGGCTTTATTCACAACACCTGAAATGCAGGAACAGCCCACATGTCTTTCCAGGAGGGCATGATTTGGCATGGAATGCTACGTGGCAATGAAAAGGAGCAGTATGCAGACACGCAGAACAACACGGATGGCTTTAACAGACACTTTTCTGAACGGAAGAAACCAGGCACACAAAAATGTGTGCTGAGTGATTCTATTTATGTGATATTCTATCATAGAATAGACAAAACTGACCTGCGGTGTTGGAAATCAGAAGCATGGCTGCTTTGGGGGTGGCGGGGGGGGGTGGCTGTGTCCACACGTGGCCGTCCCTTGATCTGCGTGTTGTCTGTGTCCTGTCCTCCTCCTCTCATAAGGACCCCATCGTATTGGATGAGGGCCACTCTAGCAGTCTGATTTTAAGTTAAACATTCCTGTTAAGACCCTACTTCCAAATAAGGTCACGTTCTGGGGTGGTGGGGGTGAGGACATCAACGTATGGGTTTGTGGGGACAAGTTCAGCCCATTGCAGCTGCCCGGACAGATGTGCTGCAGACACAGACTGCCGCGTGCTCCCCCGCCGGGCCGCAGGTGCCGGGCTGCTGGCGTCTGGGGCTCCCCGCCATGAAGGCGTTGGCGAGGGCCGAGGCGGGCTGAGCGCTCCGTGGGACGGGATGGGTGGCACGCGGAAGCCACAGGTTGTGGTTCTTGGGATCGCTTTTCCCAAACTCACAGCAGCAGGGAAATTTGCTTCTAGAAAAGCCATCCATCTTCTGCTGGAGGGTCAGGCCACAGATTTCCCTTTCCATAGAGAAGTGGCCGGTGGAGTTTGTAGCAGGAGGTGCCAGCGGAGCCAGTCAGCCTGCTGTCCACTCACTCTCAGCAGCTTCTTCAGCTTGAAGAAGGACGAGGGAGGGGGCAGAGTCTTCTCTGGGCGCTGCCAGGCACCCAGGAGAGGGCCTGGCCTGTGTGTACAAAACCAGCCCGATGCTGGGGGCGACATCCAACTGCATCTCCTCCAGCCCCCCCCAGTCTGGGTCAGCCCCCCACCCACCCACCCCCCACCGGGCCTGGACACTGTCTATTGTCTTTCACGAGTGCCGAGATCTTCAGCTTGACCTAGCCGTGCTCAGAAAATGCTATTGATTTTCTTTTACTTATTTATTTATGAGATTTTTGCTGTGGGCAAAAATTAAAAAGGTTTGTGCAGCGCTTCCCCGAGCAGCGAGGAGTTTTCTCCACGGCTGCCCCGCTTCCCGGTGCACGCTGGCAGATGGCTCTCTCCTCCCTCTCCGCTCCAGCAGTCCCGCATCTCCTGTCTGTGGGATGCAGCAGGGGCCGAGGTGACATGGGGCTAAGTGTCCTGCCCCGTGCCCAGGACAGAGTAGGTGCTCAGAAAACATATATGGGAGAGGTGGGTGTATGCATTTTGGGGCAAGCCAGGGCTGATGCCCTAAGGGATAGGGAGGCTGAGGACGGCGCATACATACCTCTGCAGAAGAACCTACTGCCTGCCAGGCCCACTGCTGGGCAGTTTGGACCTGTCTCATCTAGCCCTCATCATAAACATGCAGGGCGGATTTCATTACCATTTTCAATGGTGAAATTCAGAGAGGTTAAGCACCTTGCTCAAGGGTGCTCAGTAAGTGAGCTGGAATTCACATTCGCCACCACCCCAGCTCTCCCCATTGCATGGTGCAGCCTGCCCCAAGGAGAATAAAAACTCACTTAAGAGACTACTAGGAGCCGACTTGGCCCACAGGGCGAGGCACCTCCCCTCTCCATCCCTGCCAGGGCCCTTCTGTTTTCAGGAAGCCCCCGAGGGACTAAGCACCTTGAGTGGGAACAAGGTTCCCAAGCCATCCCATCATCGGAAAGATGACCACGCGGGAATCTGTCCCCACCCTACAGTGGGACATCAGGCGCAAGAGTTGGCTTTGGTGTCTTTCCATGGAGGTGGTTGGCCAACAAGGGCCAGAGGGAATTCCAGTCCTCTCTCAGGGCTCAAGGTCTGTTGGTTGACAGTGTGACACGTTGAGTCCTGGAGCTGTCCTGTGTCAGCTGATCTGTCTGTCCCACTCTGTCCCACACAGATGTCCACTCATGTGGATACACTGCCCAGAGTGACCTCTCCCTCCCTGGCACTCCTGACAAATGCCACCGCGTCTCCAAAGCCCAGGGAGAAATCACGTCCTTTTGAGCTTTGTGTCCCTGGGTTTGGGCACAGAGCCTGGCGGTAGAAGGATGACGGCCATCCCTGTGGACCCCATGCAGCTGGTGGTACATCCCACATGGTCAGCCCAGCTCCTGAGCCTTGGGAGCCACAGTTCTCACATTCACTCAATGTGCTTCTTGTCCTCTCTTACTCTTTCCTGGCAGGAATTCCCCTTGGCTGTCCTCAGGGGCTGGAAATGCTACTGTGCATACCCTACCCCCCAGTTCAGCCTGCGGGATGCCATGGACAGCTCGCTGTGTGGCCAGGACCCTAAGGCCCAGAGGCTGGCAGATTACTGCGAAGTCTACCAGACGCCCGTGCAAGGTGAGCTCTGCACCCACCACTGGTTGTGGCATTTGGTATTTGGTCTGGGGGTTGCAGAGAGCTTCCAGGGTTTGGAGATGCCAGTCATGGCTGACTGCAGTCCTGGGACCCCTGGCATCTTAGTGAGTGGTGGAGATAAAGGGAAGGGTGAGGTCTCCACACTCCCTGGAGGCTAAATCCTGGACTCATTTTGAAGAACATCAGACTCTGTATCTGAGTCTCTCTGGGAACAACAGTGCTAAGAGGAAGAAAGAGCAAAAAGAGACAGGGACCAGAAGGGAAGCAATAGCAAGGTGGTAGGGTTGGGAGGCACGGGAAGAGTGGGATCCCAGGGGCCACAGGGACCTCCGGTGCCTCCAGGACCTGGGCATCCTCCTTGGTGTATCAGGTCTGAGCTGAACTGATGAGTGGAAGTGCAGATGAAGAGGGATGTTACCACTTTTATCAAGTGCCTACTGTGACCCAGCACAGCCCTGGAGGCGCTGGGTGATTTCACGTGCTCCTTGCAACAGCCCTGAGGATGAGAGGCAGAGTTGCTTGCCTGAATTAGTCCAGCCCTGGCTTGTTGCTGGCTGCACCTGAGTGCAGGCATTGCTCAGTCTAGCCACAACCCTTACGTACCTCCCCTGGCAGAACCTGGAGTTACCTATACTATGCCGGGAGCAAGGGTTTAGCTGTGGCTGTGGAGACAGAGCAAGGATCCATAGGGTGCCTGATTCCCACCCGCTCTTGCAGTAGGGTGGCATGGGGCTTACAGCCAAGGCACAGGTGGAAAATCTCTTTCCCTCTTTGGGCCTTGGTTTCCCTACCTATTAATTGGGAGTCTTGGATCGCCAGTCCCTGTCTAAGGGAGTCCAGTGGTGAATCTGTGAATCAAAATGGAAGTGAGTAACCCTTGATACGTCTGGACTTTCAGACACTCGGTGCACAGACAGAAGGTTCCTGCCCAACAAATCCAAAGTGTTTGTGGCTTTGTCAAGCTTCCCAGGAGCCGGAAACACATGGGCACGGCACCTCATTGAGCATGCTACTGGCTTCTATACAGGGAGCTACTACTTTGATGGAACCCTCTATAACAAAGGTAAGCCAGAGCTACGGGGGAGGGTAGAAGGCAGCTCCCAGTGGTCAAACTGTCACCTTGCCAGCTGAGCTCCTCAGAGCACTAGAGCGGTGTATCTTAAAATATGCATAAAAGTCACCTGTATATGGAGCCACTCTGTGCCATGCTCACCCCTCAGGGACCAAGGACCAGCCTGCCTGGTGGTCTCCACCCACAGCAAAGCTATGCCACTGCCTCCATAGACCCCACAGTCTAGGCTATTGAAGCACTTCCAGGCACCATTGATGTTAATTACAGCCAAAGAAATTACATAGCAACTACACCACTGCACACACCCAGAACCAAAGCCAAACCAACACTCTAGGACACATCTATAGGAAAAAGACTTTCCCTATGAAAGCTACTCCATAAAATCAGAAGAGGTATCTATTCCACCAGATGTACAGATACCTAGGAACAAATTTAACCAAGGAGGTGAAAAATCTCTACAAGGAAAATTATAAAATGCTGATGAAAGAAATTGAAGAGGACACACACACACAAAAATGGGAAAACACCCCATATTTATGGATTAGAAGAATTAATATTGTGAAAATGACTATACTACCAAAAGCAATCTACAGATTCAATGCAATCCTTATAAAAATACCAATGACTTTCTTCACAGAAATAGAAAAAAACAATCTCCAAATTCACATGAAACCCCAAAAGACACTGAATAGCTAAAGCAATCATAAGCAAAAGATAATAAAAAAAGAAAGAAAGCTGGGGGCATCACACTACTTCAAAATATATTACAAAGCTTTAGTAACCAAAACAATGTGATACTGGCACAAACACAGACACAGAGACCAATGGAACAGAATAGAGAATACAGAAATGAATCCATGCATTTATAGCCAGCTTATTTTTGACCAAGGCATCAAGAACATAACATTGGGGAAAGTACAGTCCCTTCAATAAATGATGCTGGGAAAACTGGACACATCCGTATGCCAAAGAATGAAACTAGACCTCTATCTCTATTATATACAAAAATCAACTCAAAATATATTAAAGACTTAAATGTAACACCTGAATCTGCGAAATTAGTAGAAGATGACATGAGGGAAATGCTTCAAGGTATTGATCTGGGCAAAGTTTATTTGGGATAAGACCATAAAAGCACAGGCAACAAAAGCAAAAATAGACAAAGGTGATTATGTCAAACTAAAAAAACTTGTGCAAAGCAAAGGAAACAATCAACAGAGTGAAGAGACAGCCTGCAGAATAAGAGAGAATATTTCCAAGCTATTCTCGTGCCAAGAGATTTATATCCAGAATACATAAGGAACTCAACAGCAAGAAACAAATAATCTGATTTTAAAATTGGCAAGTGATGTGAATAGACATTTCTCAAAAGAAGACATCCAAATGGCCAACAAGGTATATGAAAAAATGCACATCGTCACTAATCATCAGGCAAATGCAAATCAAAACCACGCTTGAGATATCATCGCACCCTAGTTATAGAATGGCTGTTATCATAAAAGACAAAAAATAAATGCTGGCAAGGATGTGGAGAAAAGGGAACCCTTCTCCAGTGTTGGTGGGAATGTAAATTAGTAAAGCTGTTATGGAAAACAGTATGGAGATTCCTTAAAGAAAATAGAACTACCATATGATATAGCAGTCCCACTCCTGGGTTTATATCCAAAGAAAAGGAAATGGATATGTCAAAGAGGTGTCTGCATTCCTGTAACACTAGTCACAATAGTCAAGATATGGAATCAACCTGAGTGTCCATCAACAGATGAATGGATGAAGAAAATGTCATGTGTATAGATAAAAGAATGCTATTCAGCCATTAAAAAAAAAAAAAAAAGAAGAATGTCCATCATTCATGGAAACGTGGGTGAGCCTGGACGATGTTATGTTAAGTGAAATAAACCAGGCACAAAAAGATAAATACCACATGTTCCCACTCATGTCGAAGCTGAAAACGTTGATCTCACAGAAGTTGAGAGTAGAATGGCGGTCGGTCGGGGGCTGGGAAGGGTAGAGGGGTGGGGATAGGGGGAGGTTGATTAACAGATACAAAATTACAGCTATACAGGAGGAATAAGTTCTAGTGCTGCTCAGCACTGTAGGATAACTATAGTTAACAATAATTTATTGTATATTTTCAAATAGCCATAAGAGAGGATTTGGAATGTTTCCAACACAAAGAAATGATAAATGTTCGATGTGACGGATATGCTGATTACCCTGATTTGATCATTGCACATTGTGGCCATACATCAAAATATCACACCCTACCCTATAAATATGTACAGTGATTACATATCAACTAGAAATAATAATAAAACATATGTTTAAGTTAAAAAAAAAATAGCCACTTGGAGAGGTTGTTAAAACATGGATTCCTGGCCCACACCCACAAAGAGTCTGATGCGGGTGGTCTGCGGTGGGGCCTTGCAATTGTCATTTCTAACGCGTTCCAGATAATGGTGATGGAGGCAGCCCTTGGACCTCACTTGCAGTGGAACTTTGTGAGATAGCACCCGCTCTTGGATCCAAGGGCAAGACTAGCAGTTTGAAATTCCCCTTTATAAACGTTTCTTGAATTTTCCTTACTGTTTAAAACCCTCAATAATTAGGATTAAAACTGACATCGTCTGCTCATTCCTGGTTGTTGTTGGTTTTTTGTTGCTGTTGTTGTTGTTTTGAGGCAAGGGGTAGTTCATCAAAACGCAATTTTTGGAAAACAGGTCCAAAAATCTTCAAGAGTTTTATGATTTCTAATCTTTTCCTTATAAAAGTAAGAGGCCTCATGATGCCAAGCAAATTAATTTGAAGGGCTCAAGTCCGTGTGCTGTTTAAGAAGGAAGAACCTCAGACAAAAGTCCAGTGGCATCTATATTTGGTAGCATTTATTTCTCCGTTGTCAAGCGTTATAACATTTTCTCTGGGTTTCTTAACCAGAGTTTGGTTTAGGAAAAGATGATGCTGTGAGTAGCATCCTAGAGAAGCAGAAGCTTCCGGAGCTTGGCAGTGCAGTGAGTTCTGGACTCACAGCAATCTTGCTCTGGTTGGGGAGAAGCCAAGGTCGTGTATATATACTCCAGCCCTGTTGTCTTCGGGAGCCTCAAGTGTTATGGGCACCTTCAGCTGAGGGAGGAATTGGCCAGATGAGCATGTGATCCTGTCCACCTGGCCTAGCGCCCTGGGGGTCGTCCATTGTGTCCGGCTGCAGTTTACCCACGTTGTTCGTCTGGACGGCCTTTGCCTTATTCAAGCAGCTGGCTCATTTGTTCTACATGTGGCTCGGTGGCCCGATGATTGAATAGCCAGCCGAGATACCCAGGGCATCTTTGAACCTTACAGGACTGTTAAACATAGCCACTGGCCTCAGAGCACGGATGAGGCGATGACACACATACACGCAAAACTCACAAGGCATGTCCGGCACCGAAGCGCCATCCCCATTGTGGTAGGCGAAGGTGGCCTGAGCCACAGCGGAGGCAGTGTGAAAGGCACCCTGGATCTCAGGGTTGTTAAAAATCAGATCTCGAGTTTATTCGGTCCACAGTGTGACTCTTCCTTTCACGGCAATTCCTAGCCGTTTGACAGAGTGAATCGAAGCGAGGGCTTTCGGTGTTTGGCCCAGGGCAGAGATGAATTTGAAGCTTGTTGAGTTTCAGTGGGTAAACCCGGACTTCCAGAGTCCAAAGGGACGTGCATGTTCCAGGCATCAGAGAATCTCCCACTGCTCACTGTAGGTACAAATGCTTTCCAGCCCGTCACGAAGAGGGGCAGGTGGTAGGACTCGTTTTGTTCCCAAGAGCCCGTGAGCGTGTACGGAGCACGTTCCAGGGCTGGATGCCACGAGGCCACGTTGGGATGTGACCAGCAGACTAGGTTCGGGGGACATCGTTCCAGGAGGTCTTCTGTGACATCCCGCCATTCAGTACCCTTCACTTTTCGTTGCCATAAGCCCCTGTGCTCTGCACTTGGGCTACTTCCCTTGCTAGAATATTAAGTCTAAAGACAGGATCTGAGTCTTATCCCTTTACCCCCAACATAAAGTGCACACAGTGAGCACACAGTAACCTCTGCTGATGAATGCGTGGCTCCGGGTGGAGGCGTGGAGTCTGTCCTTCCCGGCCAGTAGTCATTCAGTCCCCAGTGCTGTACCAAGGGGCCAAGGAAGGGGACAGGCCCCGAGAGGCTGGGCAATGTGAGCAAGTCTCCCATGTAGAGAAACGGAGCCCTGAGTTCTTCAAGATTGGGCTCAGACGCCACGGTCGAGACTTTTACCGGACCTGCTCTGGGGTCATCCAAGGTGAAGGACATGCATATACACAAGGCTGGGCCCCTGTTGTAGGATGGCGGCATAAGGTCAGGAGGTGGGGCTGCACCTGCTTACAGCCATTGAGCCTTATGGCGGAGAGCTTTCCCCCACAGCGGGGAGGGGAGTGGAAGCTGGGCACTTCACGGGGACACCCAAAGCCATGCGCAGAGAGCCCTGTTGCTGTTTCCATGGTGCCGTGTGATCTTGGGCAAGTCACACACTCACTCTGAGCCTCAGTCTCTTCATCTGGCTATGCTTGCAGCTGTGGTTAAATAAATCACAAGGTTATTTGTGACACTCACGTAAAACATCTCCATGAAAGTGCCGAAGATGTATGTCCGCATCTGCATACAGAAAGAGGGCATGCTCGGGCCCTCCCTGGGGGCCTGCTCTGAGACGCCCCCTGCCCTCACTTTCCCTTGTCCCTCCTGTGGCAGCTGCTCCCATCACCACCCACAGTCTTCCCGGTGTCCTCTGCCGTGCCACCCGTGATACCAGTGCGGGTCAGCGTTCAGACCTGTCTGCTGCTATAGGAGGGGGCCCATGGACACCTTCCTACACAGACCGCCCCTCATTTCTTCCGGCAGGGTTCAAGGGTGAGAAGGACCACTGGCGGAGCCGGCGCACCATCTGCGTGAAGACCCACGAGAGCGGTCGCAGGGAGATCGAGATGTTCGACTCGGCCATCCTGCTGATCCGGAACCCGTACAGGTCCCTGGTGGCCGAATTCAACAGGAAGTGTGCGGGGCACCTGGGCTATGCCGCGGACCGCAACTGGAAGAGCAAAGGTAAACGGGGCCGGGGCAGGGGGTGCTTGTCTGCTCAGGCAGGATGCCCTTTGGGATGCAGGATCAGTATGCACAGGTAGCCACTCAAGCCCCGTCTCCCTGGGGACCTGCTGCTGCCCTGCCTGGGCTTGAGCTCACCTCCTCCCCGTCTCCTCCACGCCTGCTCAGACCCTTGCATCCTGGTGTTGTACATAGATGCCAGGAACTTCTTCTGCCCTCCACGAATAGGATAATGGATTTACCCTATTTAGCAGGGATTTTCTATCCCTGCTGATACACAGGAGCTCACATGGAGCAGGGGGAAGAGCACTGGTTTGGGATATTCGGGGACCTGGTTTGCACCGTCCTCTGCCTCCAGAACCAGGGTCCTCCTGTATCAAATGACACAGCAACCTGCATGCCCTGCAGCTTTCAGGGAGCAGTGGGATGACGGGTGTGCCCCACCTGGGGTCAGAACTCAGCGTGTCAGTTCCCTCCTGAGCTGCCTCTCGCTGACGCCTCACAAGGTGTCCCACAGGGGAATCATGTGATCCCAGAGAACATGGCTGCGGGACTGTCCAGGTGGCCTAGGTGGCCGGCAGCAGAACTGGGACACGAACCCGGTCTCTCAGTCAGCCGGGGCTGCCATGGCACAATACCAGCCTGCAGGGCTTAAGCAAAGTCCCAGATCAAAGTGCCGGCTGGTCTGGTTTCCCTCGAGGGCCCGCTTCTTGGCTTACTGACAGCCAGCTTCTCGCCGTGCCCCCGCGGGACATGGAAAGCTCTGGTGTTTATTCTTACGAGGGCACTAATCCCGTCAGAAGAGCCCCACCTTCCTGACCTATCTAACTCTAATTGCCTCCCGAAGGCCCCATCTCAAATGCCGTCATATTGAGGGTTGGGCTTCAGCATATGCATTTTGCAGGAATACAACATTCAGTCCATAACACACAAATTTTCTGATTTGGGGTCGGATTGGCTGGTTCCCAACTGTTGCAGCTTTAATCACGGAGTCAGTCCACCGACCCACACTGACTGAAGTCCTACTGTGTGCCAGGTACAGGGCAAGGCACTGAGGCCCAGGCTACCGGGGTCAGGTTCTCTGCCCTGGAGGCACACACAGTCTAGCCTCTGGGCGATGGATGATCCAGACGCGAGTCTGGGTGGTGAGTGACGTGAAATTAAGTCGCCCGGAAGTAAAGCTGTGTCTGGGGCAGGGTGCTGGTGAGCGGGGAGGCTGAGGGCCTCCCGGCCAGGCAGGCCTGTGCTTCTGTCTGCTCTGGATCCACCGACCGCAATGGGTGGCCTCGCTGGTGTCTAGTACTTCCCTTCCCCCGTCACCCCCCTCCCAGACCAGCCCACCCCGAGTCAGGCAGGCTGAGCCTGGAGCCCTCTTCTGCCTCTTCGAAGCCGTCTGCCCCCCTACGGTGCAAACCTTGTCCTCACAGACTTAGTCTTCTCATCTTAAAAACAAGGACAGTCCCCGTCTCGTAGGGCAACTGTGAAGATGAGAGAAGGCAGCCCCCTTTGCGTGGTATTCGAGGTGTATTAATAGCCCGACTAGGGAAACTATTTTTGTAGGGATGATTTCTGACCTCTGTACACCCACCGCCCTCCAAAAAAAATAATAATTTCCTTAGTTTCTGGAAAAGACATCTCGTGGAGTCGCTCACCTGCAAAAGTCTGAGCGGGCCCTGTGGGTGGCTTCACTGTGTGTCCCCCTGCACCGCAGTTTCACGGGTCTGAGCAGACAGTGAGACTCACAGGGCAGCTAAGCACCCAGCAAGCACCACGCTGACTCAGCTTTATAGGAGCCCCCAGGCTGGGGATCGGAGCCCCCTCAGCCCACAGCGCACACGCTGCACGGTCACCAAGATGGTCTTCGGATGGGTGGGGGTGGGAGGTGGATTCCAGGCAGGTTGGCCCCGGAAGGTGCGGTGGGCGGTGGAGCCTCCCAGCTGGCTCCCCCTGCTGAGCAGGCCAGCGGGACCATCCCCTGACCCTGCGTCCCTTCTCCCCCCGCCCAGAGTGGCCGGAATTCGTCAACAGCTACTCCTCGTGGTGGTCCTCGCACGTGCTGGACTGGCTCAAGTACGGGAAGCGGCTGCTGGTGGTGCACTACGAGGAGCTGCGGCGCAGCCTGGTGCCCACGCTGCGCCAGATGGTGGCCTTCCTCAACGTGTCCGTGAGCGAGGAGCGGCTGCTCTGCGTGGAGAACAACAAGGAGGGCAGCTTCCGGCGGCGCGGCCGGCGCCCCCACGACCCCGAGCCCTTCACCCCGGAGATGAGGGACTTGATCAATGGCTACATCCGGACAGTGGACCAGGCCCTGCGTGACCACGACTGGCCTGGGCTGCCCCGGGAGTACGTGCCCAGATGATAGGCCCCGCGCCGCGCCGCCCGGCCCCGCAGGCCTGCGCGCCCACTCGGATGCCCGGGCCTGCGGCCTCGCTGGGACGCACGGTCGGCAGGGAAGCCGCAGGGGACCTGGGCACAGACAGGCGCACGTCACCGGGCACAGTGGGCACTCGTCCCTAGCCAGAGACACACACCTCCTCAGACACACTCAGACGCCATCCGCGCGCACCGGGCCCGCATCCCCGCGCAGGCCGTGCCAGGCGCTCCCAGGTGCGGGCGGGCGCAGCCTCGCACAGACGACAGCGCCCAGGTGCCAGGGCATTCTCTGCCCGAGGCCGGCTGCCTCTCGCACACAGGCACACAGACACCAGGCTCTCAGACCCCCCGGTTCCTGCGTCCAGCCTGGCATAGACTTGCCCGTCGAGGTGCTAGACTCTGGGTGCTGGGCTGGGTGGGCGTCCCTGCTCTGAGCAGCAGGGGCCGTGGGGTAGAGGTGGGTGGAGACCGCTGCTGCCGCTGCTGCTGGGCTGTGGGGCCCTGACCACGTGTCTGACATGCCATAAATGTGTGTGGTGTGGCTTCCTGGCACCCCAAACCCGCCAGCCCTGCCTCTCTCTTCTCTGTGGGTGGGCTGGCGGCACGTGGGCAGAGTGGAGCCCCCCCCCATTCCACACACCGGCCTCAGGACCAGCCACGTCGAGTGTGTGCCCCGCCCGCCTCCCCTCTGCCTCATCCTACATCGGAGCTCCCCGGCCTGCCCTCCTGGCCTGGCTTCTCCCTGCAACTGCCCCCGGGAAGCTGGGGATCCGTGCCATACCCCAGAAGCAGGGTGTGAGGATGGCCGAGGAGAGGGGGGGTGCGGTCTCCAGTGGAGCCCAGGACCCCAAGGGGCCCATACGCCAGCAGGAGGAGGGTTGGGGGCCGGCATGGGGAGACTCTGAGGGGTGTGTCTTGGGGACCACTGGGACTGGTGCTCCCCAACATTGACAGGGCCCTGCTGTCTGTGGGTCCCGCACTGGGGTCATGAGACCCATGTGGTGCTCAGCCGGGGACAGAGAGAGGTGCTGGTGCTACTGACCTTCTTGGGTCCCCCCTGCTACACATGATGGGCTCAGAAATGAGGCTGTGGAGGCCGAGAGGCTCAGGTGTGGAGGGTGGGGGTGCAACCCGGGACTGAAGCTCAGGGTGGCCAAGATACTGGGAGGACTGGGGGGACGATCAGGTGCACACTGACCCCTGCCGGGGCAAAGGTGGGTGGGCCTGAACTCAGGCAGCCTTTCTGCAGCTTCTCCAGGCCTGGGGTAACCCTGGACGGACCCCTTGGTCCCCCTCTGGGATGGCCGTCTGAGAGACCAGGAGACCTCCCTAAGCTGCATCAGGAGGAGAAAACAGGACAAGGGGCAGGGAGAGCTGGAGTCGGAATGCCCTGACCCTCAGCCCCCTGGCCGGGTGATGGGGGGCTGGGCACCACCCGTGAGCACAGGCGGGGGTGGAGGGCCCAGGGAGCTGCCCTTCCTCAGAGTGGCAGTTCGGCAGCTGTGCTCTGGGTGGCCTCCAGGTCCTTCCTGGGAGTCCCCCAAACCCATGCTGGGGCGAGGCTGCTCTCCACCTGCCCACAGCATCACTCATGTCACCTCGAAGCAGAAACACCAAGGTCTTTTAAACATCCATTGGCTCAGGATGGCTGCAGGGTCCCACGTGTGAAGGCTCCAGGTGAGGCTTTCTCCAGAGCTGGGGAGCAGTTGAGAGCCCCCGGGGGGTTCCACACTGCCTTGGGAGCGGGGCCAGGGCAGACCTGCATCCCAGAGCAAACCCAGAGTCCCAAACCCCAGGCACCGGACCGAAGGAGAATGGGGAAGCCAGCCTCGTCCCACGATTGGCTCTCCAGCTCTGGTCCTCGCTCTGCTGGGGCCACCCAGACGGGATTCAGGGGAGAAGGCCCAGAAACCATGGAGAGAGGACTGACTTGCACTGGAGCCAAGGCGTGACCCCTGGGCTTCCCTTACCACTCCCCCCGGGTCTGGGGAGAGCACAGCGCCAGACTGTGCCTCCCGGTAGCTGGGCTGGGTACATTCACTGCTGCCAGGTCCCCTGAGCCCTCCTCTCCTTGCAGGTGGAGTGCTGCCTGCCTCAGTGTGGCCTTGTAGATTGCTGTGTACCTTAGCTAGGACACAGGCAGGTAGAGCAATGGACTCAGGGTCCATCTGGTTCCCAGCGAGTCTCTCCCCATGGCGAGGCACCTGGCACTTGGCAGGTGCTCCCGGATGTTGGATGGGCAAGGAGGTGTAAAGGCCCTGCGGCTGCTGGTCCTGAGCGGCTCTCATCCCAGGTCTGCCTATGCAGGAGACCTCGTCAGAAACAGGAAGGGGGGTCTGCCTGTGCTTTGGGGAAAGTCCATTTGTCCTATCCGAGTTAGGTCTCATCCCACAGCTCACAGCGTCTCAGTAAAGAGGACCCCGTCCCTACCAGCCATGCAGAACGCGGACGGGCGTGTAGGGCAGATGCATCCGGAGCCAATCAGCGCAGAACAGCAGAACCCCGGCTGTCTGCAGATCCCAACTTCAGCAGCAGGACTACGGAGCTACACAAACCTGTGTTAAAACATGTAATTTCCATGGATTTCATCTCCCGTTGTGGATCAATTTGGCAAAACCAAAATATATAATTTTAAAACACATTCTGATAATCCCAGTGATGTGTAAATGAGAGAAGAATAGACAGGCTTCCAAACCCTGGGAAGAAAGCTGCTTAATTATGTGAACATTTTATAATGAAGCCTCTCGCAGCTAAAATTAGATTTTGACTACATGAATATGCGATAATGTTTGCACATCAGAATGCGTTTTTCCCCTTAAAAGTAGCAAGAGCTGCTTGGTTCTTAAGGGGCCCCGAGAAGGGGGGAAGAAGGGCAGACGTTGATCTTGTGGCTGCAAGACGTTGATCTTGTGCCCTCTTGGGGCACACAGGTTTGTTTTCTTCGGACTCACTTGGAAACTCGTTGGAGGTGTCTGAAATGCGACGACCGCAAAGCGGCTTATTTCGGTTTAGGGAGAAATTGATTGGTCTGACCTCGCATCGATCACCGCTCAATATTGGGTGTGCTGGCCCAATGGGAGTGACGTGAAGTGGGGGTGATATGGAGTCCCCAGGGGACAGCCAGCTGTGGCCCTAGCTCTACTCCGCTGTCGTCTTGGGCAAGGCCTTTCCCATCTCTGGTTTCGGTCTCCCACCCATAACATCAGGGGATGTTATACAGTGGATGTGTTTGGTTGTATCCCCAACATCCGCTCCCCCATTTCCTTTTCCAGCAGCCCCTCGTTTCAGTTTGGGGATTCTTAGGATCTTCCAGGGCTGCCTCTGTCCTCGCCCCCAGGGGTGGCACACATGTCCTGGGCTAGGCCAGCCACACTTTGCATCTCTCTGGCTACGCTGATGGGTTCGGGTGTGATCATGATGGCTGAGGCAATGCAGCATGAGGGAAGTGCAAGACTCTCTGGGAATGTTGGGTAGACACTCTTCTAACTCCCCTGCTGGATGGATGCAGAGGAGAAAGGGTCTTGGTGGCAGCCACCCTGGGATCATGGCCAGGATCACTCAGCACGGATCCAACACCACTGAAGGGAGAGTCAGGCAGGAAGCCATCAGGTCCCTGGGGACACTGTCCAAGTACAGGGTCAAGCTTTGCCGGAGATTGGCCCTACCTGTGGACTTTTTTGTTACACGAGCTAATAAATTCTCTTGATTGTTTAAGTTGCGTTGAGTTGGGTTTCTGTTACTTACAGCTCAGAGCATGGTGCAAAGGGCTTGGGTTGAAAAGCCCTGGGGCTCTGACATTCTCCATCTCTGTGGCTGATGTAGATAAAACCTGAAACTCAGACCAGCATGAGCTGGTAGCACTGGGAGGTGACTTTTCACAGGAATGGAGCTGGGTGTGAAATGATCATGATCGGTAGGAAGCTCTGCTCAATCAGCCGAGAGGAGTTGCATTTTTAAGTCAGTGCATGGTGAGGTCACCCTGATAGCCTTAGAAAATAATTACTTTTGGGTGCCAAACCCAATCCATAAGTTGTCTCATTTAATCCTTAAGCAACCCTTTGGTGCGGCTATTATTTGATTACTATCTCTGGTTGGCAAGTGAGAGGACTGAGATTCCAATCTGTAATGGTGATAAAAGTAGCACCCTTCTGTGTTTACCATAACTCCTTTCATGGAGTGTACGATGTGGTGTTGGCGGGAATTCTTTGACAAGTTACTTGGATTGGGGGTGAGACCCCTTCTAAGAAACACGCTTGAGTAGTGGCAGATAGACAGTAAACTCCTTTCTAAGGAGGGCAGGTGTGCTCAACCCTTTTGCTAAGTGGGACATGCAAGCTTGAGGCAGAGCGGAATTGCTGCTGTTGGAGGATAGGTGGGTGATGCCACAGAGAATTCCCTCCTCTCTTTAACCCTACTGTGTGCCAGAAATCGGAGGGACAAAGGGAGTTATCTGTGACACCTATCTTCAGACTCCCCTTGGAATGTCTGACTGTTCTACAGTATTCCAGGACTGAGGTCTGTGCAAAACATAGAAAAAAAGCCAAGATCCCAGAAAATCAATGCTCATATGTCTATCCACAGTGCTCCCTTTGCAACTGAAGATAGATTTGGGGCCCTTCCTGAGAAACGTTGCAGAAGTCCGGGTCCCTGCCATGGGAAATATGAGCAGATCCAGTCTAAATGCTAAGCATAATTGCTCAAATCAAAGGAGGAATCTTGATGTCAAGCACGAATAAAAAGAATTCCAGTTGATGTTGTAAGCGTCAGCCTGAGCTGAATTCATTAACTTTCCAAGGTGTCTTCAGTACTTAAGACATTTTTTTTTTCAGGTTCAGATGCCAGCGGTGACAGGTCCATGGCTCGAAGGCGTGTCCAGTGGTGATCAATAATAGTAAACAGTGTTCTTAGGGTCACAGAGGCCCTCAGACATCACCCCTCATGTGCCTCTGTGACGTGGACATTATGATTTGGGGCAGGGAAGAGAAAATTTACTTTCTGAGTTTGAGTTGGCCAAAGTCTGAGCCCTTTCCTTTACAGAAGAGAAAAATGAGACTGGGATTGGGGCAGAGTCTCATACGAGGCTATGCTGTGATGATGAGTCGTGGCACTGGGACGGGAATGCAAGCTCTTTCCACTAAACCATCTGATTGGCTGCCACACTACACCCCTGGTGTTTTTCAAGAAGTTGCCATAAATGAGACTAGTGTGCACATACAGTTCATGCGGAAGCGAGTTCATTACTTGCACCTCAAATTCTTTGCCAAAATACTGTCTGGTGGACACCTGTGTTCACTATCAAGGGCCATTGATCAAGCAACCCTAGTACTTGAAAAGCCACACAGAGGAAGTGTCCCTTTCTGAAGAACGGAGGTCAGAGAGATGGACCGTAACTTGCCATGACGTAGGAGCCCAGAGTGTTCATCCTAAGTCACAAACACCCCAGGCGGCAGAAAAGCCCTGTTACTGCAAGATATTAATAAGCAAGCATCTTTGGTGGGCTTGAGCCCAGCAGTATGCGTGCGTGTGTGTGTGTGTGTGTGTGTGTGTGTGTGTGTGTTTTGCATGTGTGCAGGCAGGCGTGAGCTCCGTTGCTGACAGACAACTTTCCCTTTGCATCACATGAACATTGCAAGTGGCAAGAGCCTGGTCGTCTGGGCTTTGGCGTCAATTCCCTTGGATAACTCTGCCTCCCCCCGTCAGAGCTACCGTATCGGGATGACAGAATGATCTACCCCCGCTGTGAAAGGCAAGGCACACATTCAGTATGTTATGTGTCTGGGGGGAAGCCCGGGAGGGCAGGGGAGTGGTGCTAAAACAGATACTTACAGCCTCAGCCATCCCGCGATGCCGTGGGACTCGCCAAAGGTTGAAATCGTACCTCACCAGAGTCACCTGTATTAGTTTTCTATTGCTGTGAAACAAGTGATCACAAACGGAACAGCTTAAAACAACACACATTCATCATCCCACAGTTTCTGTGGGTTAGGAGTCTGGGCACGGCTCAGCTGAGTTCTCCGCTTCAGGATCTCACCAGGCTGCCATCATCTGGGGATCTGACGGGGGACAGTCCACTCCCGCGCTCGCTCAGACTGCGGGCAGAATCGAGTTGCAAATGGTGGTACAGATGAGGCCCTCGGCTCCTATAGGCTGCCCGCTGTTCCCCAGCAGGCGGGCATGTCCATGGGCAGTTCGAGACGTGGCCATCGTCTCTTCAAGGCCAACCAGAGGGTGAGACAGAGTCTTACGTTCACAACATAACCACAGGAATGACGTCCCTCCACCTTTGCCACGTCTACTAGTTAGGAGCGAGTCACAAGACTTGGCCGCACCTAAGAGGAGGGGGTTACACAGAGGGGGGAGCACCAGGAGGTGGGGAGCATTGGGGTTCACGCTTGGGTGACCCTTGGGTTTGTCCACCAACACAAGTAAAGAATCAGAGCATTCCTCATGGTCTACAGCACGCCTCTGTGCAGATCGTATTGGACATGGTGGAGATTTCTTCCAAGCACCATCCAAGAGCATCAGGCGAGATACACAGGCCATGAAACTGAGTTCAGCTAATGTGCCCAGTCCGCTGCATCGGCATTAACAGAATCATCTATTCGTGAAGATGAAGGAACATCCCCAATTCACATGGGCCAGATCTGCATTATGTTTCTAACATTTATTCTTCTCGGCACGTAGTGTACCTTTCAATGTCTGGGTGTCTTTCTTTAATTTCAGGACTTCATCAACTACTCTTTCTTTGAATACTGCCATCTCTTTCCTCCTTTCATCTCCCATTCTGGCACTGATGGCGGGACTCTGAGAGTCCAGTTTCCACACTCAGCTCTTTTCTCCATACTTTCCGTCTCTCAATCCCACTGTGCTGGGTTCTGGTAGAATTCTTCGCTTCGATAGGTGAAAACTATAATTTGCTCTTTCACTGTGTCTAGTCTGCTCTTCAGCCTACTTGTTGATTTCTAAAGTTGTGTTGTTTTTTATTCCTGAGACCTCTAGTTGACTTTTTATAACAATCTGAATTTGTTTCACGGATACGATACCCTTCCATCTCCCTCTGAGAACCTTAAATACACACAGATAAATGCTCCGTACTGGCTCTATGACCTCTGTTTTCTTAGGTGTAAATTTTTTTTTTATTTGTTCATTCTGCTGTCTATTTCATGGTTGGGTTTTTAGCAAAATTTGATGATTGTGTGTTCATGAATGAAGAGAATTGTGCAGGTGTCAACCGTCCTGGCTCTCCTAGGTTTGGTGCCTTAACTAGTGACACTGTTAATTACCCCTAGGCTACCTCCTTCTCCCAAATTTCACCAACTCTCCATAGGAAGCACCAATATATCTAAGTCAGAATCCGAAGCTGTGTCCCGAGCTCTGACTTCCTTCTAACCTTCCCTATCTTTCAGAGTTTGCTCAGTTCTCAGCCCCCCTCTGGTACCCTCTCATTTTTAAGCAAAGGCTATGTCATTGTATAGTTTGATTCAGGGGACAAAGCAAGTGATTTCTAAACCTACCATCATGAAAACCAGATCCCTGATGCTTAATCTAGGTCCCTGATGCTCACTGTCTCTCAGGTGACCTAAGAGCATCATAAAAAAAAAAAAAATCCTGACTCCAAGTGGAAAGACCTGTGCTCTAATC